AGCTTGATTCGAGCTTGATTCGAGTTCAAGTTCGAGCTTGATTCGAGCTTGATTCGAGTTCGAGTTCGAGCTTGATTCGAGCTTGATTCGAGTTCGAGTTCGAGCTTGATTCGAGCTTGATTCGAGTTCGAGCCTGAAAAATAGTTTTCGAGTTCGAGTCGAGCTTCGATTTCGACTACTCGCGAGTTTTCGAGTCGAGTTCGAGCTTCGAGATTAGGTTTCGAGTTCGAGTCGAGTATAATGATACTCGAGCTCGACTCGCATCATTTACACCCCTATTCACAACTCATTGTCCGCCCCCACTTCCACCATTCCGATTCTCACCGGGAGAAGGCGAAGTCGATAACCCTTCATCTGTCACTGCAACAACACACATAAACAAACACCATCAATAAATACTTATTTTAATGCAAAATGATTAAAACCACTACTCACCATAAGAAGTTCCAACGGTTCCCTGAGGTGCATCCCCTTTCCCACCGAACCACGAACCCACTGCATCCTTCAACCGGTCTGCCACACCTTTCTCAGCCACCACATTACTCGAATCATGATCACGATCACTCCCTAATCGGCGTCGGACTTCCTCCGACTCCGTCACCCTTCCTACCTCCGCTCTATCCTCACCACACTTCTTTTCCGACTCTTCATGGCTTCCCCTGTGGAAAGCATGCGTTATTACTTCCGACAACGCCTTATCGTCATCTCCAGGTCTTAATGTCTCCACCAAGTATTCCTTCACCGACACTACTTTATCACCTTCCTTCCCTTTCTCCACCTGCACTTCCGCTTGTGGCTGTCCAGACACAGACCCTTGCACTTTGGAAATCACCGAACTTCCCGCATCCACCACCTTCTCATAAACCGGTGCCAATGTCTCCGATACTTTATCTGTAATCTTGTGCGCATAATCTGTTGCGGAGCCTGGTTTTTTGACGGTTTCATCTGATTCGCTACTCGGGGTTTGGCCGGAATAACCAAGTTTGGAGGCGATGGCGTCTGCGGCTTTATCGGCTATGGCGGAAGCGGAGGATGATATTTTTTCAACGTAGGTGCTACTCCGGCTTGATGGGTTTCCGGTGAGGGTTTCACGTGGGAGATTTTCAGGGTGGTTTGGATCAAATCTTTTCGGTCCGGAATCGTCGTCTTCATCGTGGATACCCATTTTGCCAAATGAATGTTGGATTTGCGAGAGTTCTGCTTCCTTGCCACCTGTTAAAAATAAAACAACAACGTTCAAATTTAACGGTAAAAATACTGAAAATATCAATTGCTATAAATTTTTATACCTGTATGTGTTGGATCGGTGACTTTGGTCTCATAGTTTGAAGGATCCGAACCCACCATTGATGGTTCCTTGGGAGCATTAGGATCCTTCACCATCCCAGTAGATTTCCCAATACTACCCCTCGATTCTTCTTGATGGGTCCTTGAGACCATGGGGGCAAAAGGGTCTTCTTCCATCCCAGTTGATTGTCCAATTTTACCCCTCCATTGATTTGGATTTACTTCTTGACCGTATGCTTGAGGATGACCAAGTCCCGATGGTTCAGACAAGTTGGTTCCATATGGTCCAGTGGAAACAGTTGGTGGTGCACCATGGGGCTCAACCACATGGGAACGATCATACCGGTCCTCGGCCATTACTGATGGCCTTTCCAAATTACCCCTGGGTTGTGCCAAAATTGCATCTGGACCACCCAGACCAACCCTAGGCGAATCATACACTGCAGAATTCGTAACCAATTTGATGCTTTATCCACTTGTACCGTACAAGCAATCAAACAGAACTTGAAGATATATAAAACTTACTCGGTGCACCATGGACTTCTGCGTCTTCCTCCATTTCTTCATCATCATCATCGTCATCATCATGATGATGATGGTCATGATCATCGCCGCCATGGCCATGTCCATGCTTTGTGATGGTATTCTTTAACTTCTTGGCTTTTTCTTTGACTTTCTTGATCACTGATTTCTTCTCGCCATGATGTTCATCTTCATCGTAATCATGACCTTTCATCAACAACATAAAACACCAAATGATCAATTTCATACTGTCAGTTGATTAATTACAGAACATCAATGGATTGTTACCGGAGTGATGGGTGCCGGTGCCGGCGTTGGCGTTGGCGTTGGCATTGAAGGTGTCATGGTCGTCGTAGTGACGGCCGTGGGTGTGCTGTAAATGTGGTTCCATTTGAGTTTAAAAGATAAGAGGGGTTGCTTGAAGAAGGAAGCATATATAGAAGGGGAATTGGTTTAGGCAAAAAAGAAAACGGCGTGTCGGAGGTAAGCATGAAAGCATGACGCATAGAGGGAATGACACGTGTTATGAAGTGGACGCGTGGCATGCAATGTATTGTTGACGTGGCCCACCGAGTTTAATGGTGATCGTCCTTCTCTAACCGCTGTAAAAGCATATCAGAATTATGGACGGACCCGGAAAAAAAATTAAACGGTAGCATCATTTGACCATAAGAAAAAGAAAATGTAAGAATTTTTTTTCAAATAGTAACACCGTTTAATTAAGAAAATGATATTAACATGATTTGAACTTGGTGTGGAGTGGAATAAAAGCCTTACAAACCAACTATACCAAATAAAACTTGTTCTCATTGTAGTTTCATAATACATACGGTGACACACAATAAATTAATACGATTACACCGTTGACGAAACCTAAATTTTTTACGCTTTGCCGGAAAAACGATACGGTGGTATGTACCACCCATGACACTTAACTAGGTCCGTCTATGATCAGAACGGAGCCGGATGACGGAACAAAACGTATTTCTTTCGGTTAAAATATCATAAACCTTATTTAAAAAACAATTAGATTTCTCTTATTTTTTTTACCAAAAAAAATATTAAACACAAAATCCCAATACAAAAATAAATTGAATTTTGCTCTTCTTCCCAGGGCCGGCCCTGGCCATGTGCAACCCGTGCGGCCGCACAGGACATCAAAGCCTAAAGGGGCATCAAGTTGTCATTTATTACTAGTTTTCGGTTTAATAATTTGAGAATTGAACAACTGAGTTTTAACTATAAAAACAGGTCCAAGGCCTAGTAGTGATGCATATTGAATGCACATCGTTGGAAAAAGTTGGAAAATTGGAAAAGTTTTTGTTTGTATAAAGTTGTCTGTATGAATTAATCTGTCTGTATAAGTTGGAAAAATTTTATTTTCACAGATGTAAGGAGCACTTTTTTAGTTGGAAGAGACATATTTGGAAATAAAACTTGGCTTTCCATATAAACCCCCTTAGAAGCTTATCGGATAAGTCACTTTCTATATCATTTAATCACTACAAAACAATCATGCATAGTTGAGCGAATAAGCTGTTAATTCCATTAAACTTATTAAGCTGCTAACAGATAGACCCTTAGCCTTTAGTTGTTAGACCTGTAACTTTTGAGTTTTACTCTTTGCTTACTATGATAGTAATTTAGATATAATTTACTATTTTAGTTAAAAACTAATTATAGTTTTTCTTGTCTTTTAAGTCCCATATATTGAAATAAAGTTTCTATTTTGCTAATTTCAATTTGAAAAAGGAAAACTGGAAAAGAAGGAAGCACGACCTTAATTCAGGATCATCATTTTATCATTTCATATTTTATATTCGGGGTTTTGGTTTTTATATCCCCCCATTGTATTTTTTTTATTATAATTAATAAAAATCAACATGGAGATGAAATACTTAACTTAAATAAGCTCTAAACTCTTTATAAAATCGCATATTTTATTGTTTTATTAGCTTAGAAAAATAGGCTTATGGGCATTTTTTATTATTTTCGCACAGGACATCAAAAATCTTAGGACCGGCCCTGCTTCTTCCTATTACAATTAATCAATTTTAAAACCTTTACATGGAACCTACTTCCAACGATGAGTAAACATTTTTTTGGCTTACTCAGCGACTGAGGCTACATCCACTGAAAGAAAGAAATGAGGTTTCTTTCGCTTTTGGCATAGTGGGCCCCAATGAGACGGGATACTTAACACAATATATTTAGTCCTTTTACCACCATTAAGGTTTGAAAAAAATTTATGTGCGTTCTTTTCTTTGGAAAAAACTTTATGTATATTTCAGTTGTTTTCAATCATCTAGCAGTCATCACATAAATTATACAGATTTCATTGATATTAAATTATTGAATTATTTCAATTCCAATTTATATGAAAATTTGTGGTTATAAAAACAATTATAAATAACCTACATTCATAAGATAGGTTATCGTAGCACACTGTCAATACCTTAAACAAACTAACAGGTAAGGTAAGTAGTGTGCCAATCGTCATTTTATAATAATAAGGTTATTGAGATCTTAAACTCTTTTTTAAGGTTTGTTTTTAAGCCTTCAATTCTTTGAAAAACATATATTAATAAGAACTATAAGAGTACTCGTACAATGCAGCGAGATACATTTTTATTTTAATATTTCATTTTATTATTTATCTCAGTTGATGTTATAGTATGATCTTATGTGATTTTGAAAAAACAATAATGTTTTTTATTTTTGAATAAAATATAAACTTGAAGATATCATACAAATTTAACAAAAATATATCGATATTAGTATCAAATTAACTATTTAAAATTCTAATTTTTTGTGTAATTTTTTAATTCAATTTTTTTATTATAATTTAATTTAGGTTCAATAGTGAAGTAATTTATATTTGATTTAATAATATAATTTTCTTATAAAGATAATAATTAATTATTTTTTTAGAACTCGATAATTATACTAATTATATTTTAGATTTTTTATATTTTAAAATGAGATATTTGTCCTCTATTTGGTTATGTTTATCCGCAGTTAATTACACGAATTCAAACATGGAGTTTTAATAAGTTGTAGTTATGCATAATTTACTTGTAATCTTGAATATACAGTACTTCATGCATAAAAAATTGTTTTTAAGAGTTTTAGTCAAATGTTTTATAATATAGTATAGATTACAAATTTACTTTCTATTTGCTTGTTTACTCGTAACAATTTAATTATAGACTTGGGATCATGTGATACCAGCTTGTTTTCATGAGACCATTTTTTTTACACTTAAAACTTCATAGTAAATCGTTGCAAATTTTTTTTTACCTTTACAACGTTTTACTATACAGTTTTAAACGTAAAAAGATATCAAACAGAAGCAGGTTTGTTTCACGTCAACCGACACCATTTAATTATATTTGCATAATTATAGAAAATGTTTAGTGTTCCGTTAATTTTGAAGTAGAACAAGAAAGCAAAAGAGGAAAGTAATTAAACAGGTAAAGCAGCCGGCGCAAAAGGCGACACGATAATCAGATAATTCGGGTCCACGTGGACATCCATCTCCTACCTACTACCGAACGGCACGTGGCTGTTTACCCAATCTGACGGTTCACTTGTATCCCTCCTCAACGAATGGACCAGGGTTTTGAAAATACGATCGAATAAATTCGATAATATGGCGTTCTTTATCCATTTCTTATTCTCGAAACAACTGAGAGAAGGTTGAAGAAGAAGAAAAAGAAGCCATGGGTTTGGAGATCAAGGCGTTGTACCTATCCTATGTGGTGCACGTGCTGGGGGTTGCCGGAGCGGTGATGGTTCTGGTTTGGAACATCTACTTCAGGGGGGGTTTAGCTTGGGAATCGTCTAATAAAAATCTCATATTCAATGTAAGACATCTGATATAATCTCTCTTAGTTGTTTTTGTTTTATGTTAACTTGGATCAGCTGAGTTCATTAATTTGAATGATTTGTTATCCTTTTACTTGAATTTGGTTTGTTTTGATGGTTACTTTTGGAGAAAAGTGAATTTTAGGGTTTCAATCGCGTTTTCGTGGATGTAAATTTTTGTACTGAAAGTAGTTGACTGTTTTTGAGCATCTGGCTACAAGGGTTTCAAGGTGTTTGAACATTGACTTAAGATTGTATGTTTTTGAGACGATTGCAGAAATGGTTCCCAATTGGAGATGTAGATAGTAGGCCATTGAAGAAGCTTGAATCTAGTTGACTTTTTTTATTTTCTAAATTTCGCCTTAGTATGGGAATTAGTAGGGATTTCCATTTAGAACGCACATGTGCCTACTATTTGTAGCTATTGGTCACCAATATTTGGCAGATAGATTATGGAAAACTGGCAGGTGAGGGACCTCTGCCTATATGTTTCAAGTTCATGTTCCTGGCTTAATTTAAGGGAAGAAAATAAAAATTAAGCCTGGTTGACCCTGTGTCTTTGGATGGATCTGAATTGTAATCTGACCCAAGAAGCTTGGAATGCGACCCGATTGTAGAAAAAAGGGAATCTGTGTTTTGGTAGCGGAATATGAGTTTCGACAGACTGCTGTGTGGACCTGTTATGGTTTGGGAAACACTTGCAGTTTTATGGTGGTGTACATTTGGGATGTCATTTGATGGTTTCTTTCTGTTCTTGAATGAAAAAGATGGAGATCCAATTCACTGTATTAATTTCTTCTTCGCTCTTCTCTTTGTGCATGATTGTGTGGTTAACTAATCAATTTGACCAATAGGCTTCATGTACTATAATGAATCAACTATGCCACTTGCCACATATGATCAGAATTTGCATAGTTCATACGGACAAATGGTGTTTAATACAATAACTTTGGTATCGTAGACACTCAAGCACATCTTTTTTGGTAACTGTGGCCCATGGGTGTCTGGGCCAGCTTGAACCTACCGCGACTAATCCCATGGGGCCCTGAAGATAACAGCCAAGAAAATGTCCAAGGGCCCTGAGGAGACCCGAACTGGCCACCTATAGGAAGGATCCCCAAGCTCTGGCCTTTTATGTGTCGGTTGAGTCAGCCGACTCAAGCACACTTTTGAGCTTTTGGGAAGCAAATTTTCTGTATATACTTGTGTAACTATTTAGCGTATGACTTACTGCACCATAACTTTTCAAACACTTGGTAGAGAAGAGGTATCGGTATGTTGCTGGGTGGCTAATTTGGTTCCATCCATCATACAGACATACTTATTACATACAAGTAGACTGCTAAGTTGTTGGTAATATGCAGTAAAATTGTTGCGTCTTGACAAGTATCTGTAACTATTTTCCAGAAAAAAAGATTTGTAATTAAACTGGACTGCAATGCTGCATAGCAATATAGGAAATCTAACTACACAACAGTGAACTCTTATATGATTCATATAAGCAATTGTGGAGTAAAGCAATTAAAAGCCAATCTTGTCCCCGCAGATGCTTCTCGGATAGAATCATGTTTGTTATCTGATTTTCCTCTTTCTCTGTGGCTGCTTGAACGTGCACCTGTACGTTTTCTTACATTCTCAGGAGGACACAAATGAGAAAACTTTTCAAGTTTCTACATCTTTCTGAAAGCTTTGATTTGTTTGAGGTCTCGTAAACACTTGTCAAGTTTTCAAGCATGTGTCCAACTATATCACTAGTTCGTTATCTTATATTCCATTTTGCCATCTTTTTACCAGGTCCATCCTGTTCTGATGCTTATTGGTTTGGTTATCATGGGTGGTGAAGGTAACAGCATCATACTTGCTCATTACATGGATGCCAACTCTCATCCATACATACATGGATGCATACATACATACCAATACATACTCATTAATTTCTTTCGATCTGCAGCCATTATAAGCTATAAAGCTCTTCCATTCAAGAAGGCCGAGAAGAAACTTATCCATCTTGTTCTACATGCTATTGCCCTCATACTCGGTAGCATTGGAATCTATATGGCATTCAAAAACCACAATGAAAGTGGTCTTGCAAACCTATACAGTTTACATTCCTGGCTTGGTATTGGTGTTATTGCTCTTTATGGCATTCAGGTAGCATCAAAATCTGCTGCTGGCCCTTTCTATTTCATAGCATTTTTACAACATTTCTTTTGCATAAATCATTGTAAATCCTTGAAAGCATATTTGGTTTGCAGGATTTGGTGGGATTTGGAATTGGATTCCATTCCAATCCCACATTTGGTTTAAAAGAAAGTTCTGAATTGAAATCCCACAAACATAAGCTAATTCTTGTGAATTTTCTTGGCAGTGGATATATGGGTTTGTGGTGTTTTTCTACCCGGGTGGAAGTAGTGACATTAGAAGAGAATCGCTTCCATGGCATGTGCTGTTTGGAATGTTTGTGTATATCTTAGCCGTTGCCAATTCAGCACTCGGGTTTCTTGAAAAACTAACATTCCTGGAGAGTTCAGGCATCGATAAGTATGGCTCCGAAGCGTTTTTGGTCAACTTCACCGCCATTGTTGCAGTACTTTACGGCACCTTCGTACTATTGACTGCACTTTCGCGCGCCCCTGCTGAAGACGACAACAGCTATTCGCCGATATAAAACGTGTTTATGTGAAATTATTGTTGTATCCACGGTTCTATCTAAGATTGAACATATAACGAGCATATGAGTGTGTCTCATGATATGCATTTCTGGTTTTATGTATCCTGTGTCTTGTAGAAACACAAACCACACAGCATTGTGTAGTATGAAATACCGTATTTGCCCTTCTAAACATTGGGTCAATTCTCCCGATCCAAATTAAAGCTGGACGGATCGGAATGTAGATAAACCTACCCTATGGATCTGGTAAATGCCAACTAGATTTCCACGTCATGTTTATAATTAAAATAAATAAATCTAAAATGCTAACATGACATTAATAATTATGATATTACATATTTATTTATATATTTAATAACTAAAATTCCATTTTTCATTTTTAAATAAAGAAATTAAAGACCTAAAACTTTATCCCACCCCAGACCATCGTCACCCATATCCAAAATCTCCATCTCTGTAACTACCCCATCTCCTCCCATTTTCTTCTTCAATCACGATAATTTTGCAAACCAACTCTACGAAATAAAACTTGTTCTCATTATAGTTTTAAAATACATACGGTGATACACAACAAATTAATATGGTTGCACCTTTTACGAACCTAAATTTTGTTACCCTTCGACGGAGAAATAATACGGTGGCACGTGCCACCGTAACCACCCGTGCATGCTCTGGTTATGCTTCGACCTGTTGCCATTGTATTTCTTCTCCATCACTAATCTTTGGCATCTTGGTTTTGATTTTTGATTTCGGTTATATTTTATTGTTATCTTTGTAATCAGTGATTATTTGTTTTTTTTTCATTATCCACGTAATAGTTTTTGTTAATTAATAATTTGCCATGTCATATTACGTTTACTTGTTATCTATTGAACTAGTAATCAAGGTCCTTAAATATACCAAAATTTTGTTTTAACCCTTAAAATGATAATTTTGAAAGTTGATTCTCCGTAATAAAAAAAATACAAAATTGGTTTCATTTTGATGCAATTTTTCCAATAAAAAAAAAGGAAATTTATAAAAATAACCACTTTATACAACCTTTTGCCACAAAATAACCGGGTTTTAGAGGTTTTGCGTATTTGATCACCCAGATCTACCCTAAGGGCGATCCGTTCACATATGGGGCGATCCCCAATAGAATTCTAAAAACAAAACAAAAATTCCTTAAAAGACAAGATTACTGTTCACCCTCGAAGACCGGGTTTGACCTCGCCCTAGGGGACGATCCAGCCTGTCCCATCGCCCCCAGGGGAGATCCAGCCTTTTATTATTATTATTTTATTCTTTTTGTGGTATTTTTAATAAAACTGATACGACATTTAAGTTGTGTTTTTTAACTTTTTTTAAAACCAAAATTCATGGGTAAAGGTTTAAAAATAAACCATTATAATTATGGAGACGCAAAAATTATTTTTAATAGATTTGGGTTTCGTAAATCAGATATAAACCCGTACATCTCTTTTTTTTTCATTTTTTTTACCTCGAATTTCACTATAAATACCAACCTCCTACTTCATAATTTTTCACACATTCCCTTTCATTTATCTTCTCATATATTCTACTCTCACAACTCTTAACCCATTAAACACAATCAACCATCACAAAACATGAAATCACGTCAAAATGATGATATTTGTGTGTATCTTCGAAGTGGCGGTTTATTCCAAAATATAAATGGTGTTTTAGAGTACCTTCCGATAACCTCCCCCACATGTGCAATACATTTGTCTTCGCCAATAACGTATTCTGGGGTCGTCAAACGTGTGACGAAAAAGTTAAGTTTACGTGGTTCTTTCAATTTATTTTTTAAAACGAATACGTTATATCAGTTTATGGACGACGATGATGTGGTAATCCTCCACAACGCCATTCGTCAAACTTCACCAGAAATGTTGACACTATATTTTTCCATTTTTATGAAAAACACCCCTTAATTGTTAAATAAAAAACACAAAATAACAAAATAGAGGTCAAATTTCGTAAATCAGATATTATATCTGATTTACGAAACCCAAAACAGATAAAAATATTTTTTGTCTCCATAATTATAATGGTTTATTTTTAAACTTTTACCCATGAATTTTGGTTCTAAAAAAGTTAAAAAAACACAACTTAAATGGCGTATTAGTTTTACTAAAAATACCACAAAAAAATAAAAATAAAAATAATAAAAGGCTGGATCGCCCCCTAGGGCGAGGTCAAACCCGGTCTTTGAGGGTGAACAGTAATCTCGTCTTTTAATGAAAAAAAATTTCCTTTTAGAATTATATTGGGGATCGCCCCAAAAAAAATACGGATCTCCCTTAGGGTAGATCTGAATGGTCAAATACGTAAAACCTCTAAAACCCGGTTATTTTGTGGCAAAAGATTGTATAAAATAGTTATTTTTATAAATTTCCCAAAAAGAAAGTTCATCTATTTTGAAAAATTCTAGTGCTGAGTTGGACAAATTACAGGTCAGAAAATGTGACAGCAAACATAGCGCCAATGATTTCAAAATCCTATCTGTCCCACCTAACCGAATCTCTTTTTCATTTTTCTGCTACAAAAACCCTCATCTATTTTACTATGTCCAAATGTGATCCTTCAAGTTTTGCTTTTCTCATTTTGATACTAAAAAAAATCTTTAAAAGATTTTCTACAATTTTTTTAAAAATAGATAACTAAAAATTCAGAATCTCTAAAAATAATTACATGTAAATTCAATATATTTTTTATTTTAGAGATTTTTAAATTTATTATATTATTAAAATATTTTATAATTAAATCATCTCAATACAATTTCAAAAAAAACTTACATAAAATAATAATAATTCAATCTCATTGGTGAGAATTAATGTAAAATTATCTCTCCATGCATTAAGTTTTACAGAGTTTTTTAAATTTGGAGATTTTTATATTTTTTTTTATTTTAGAGAACAACATAAATAATTTGTTGAAGCAAATAGAGAACAAAAACCTCATTTTCTCTATTTTAATAACCTGTTGGAGATGATCTAACTGATTACCTTTCTTTCATTCCTTTTCAAAACCTCCGACAATGTTCGTAGAGCATGTGCTTTATGTTGCAATAACAAATTATTGTAAGGAAAAATTGCATTAAAAGTAACGTACTTTAATTTGATTTCTATTTTAGGTAATGTACTTTCAAAACTTGTATTTTAATACTTAAGATGTAAAATTTTAAACATTGAAGTACCCAAATAATTGGTTGAAGTATTAACTGAGTTACCATATTGATGTGACAAGTGATGAAATGAAATGTTTAAAACTTTATATCTTACGTACCAAAATAAAATTTCTAAAAGTACATTACCTAAAATAGGAATCAAGTTAAAGTACGTGACTTTTTCGTATAATTTGTCTTGCTATAAAATATCAAAGATATTGATTTTTAAATTTGTATTAGTTCGGTTTAGTTGTTTTTGGGTTTCTACACCCTATAAAATTAACGTATTTTTTTGTCAAAGACCTTCCAGCCTAGTGGTAAAGGCTTGGGAATGTCATAGTCATGAACCCGAGTTCGAGCCCTGGGAGGGGAGTGTTGGCGACATTTAAGTGGGGCCATGTTTAGCCTCCAAATTTACCGGGGATTAGTCGGGCTTTGGCCCGGACACCCTTACAAAAAAAAAAAAAATTAGCGTATTTTTCTTGGTTTTATAATTTGTTTGTTTTTCTAAAAAAAGTGTATCAGTTTTTGTCAAATTGTTTTGGAATAAATGGAATATATTTGTATTCAAATAAACTTCACGTATCATGCGTCCAACATGATCGTTGATGCAATTTGCAACAAAAGAAAGATGAGGGTTAGAAGTGTAAAACACTGAATAGTTTAGGTGCTTCCCTACAATTAATCGCTTGTAAAAGAATCTGCATCTCTGTGTTTTCTTGGGATATCAGTTGATGAGTTGTTGACACTTATTTTAACCAATTATATTTCCATAAATTATTTTATTTATTTATTATTAAATGATATCTTAAATATTTGATTATCAATAAAATTATTTTTATTAAGCTTATTCTCAAGTCAAATATTATATTTTTAATCACTTTTAAAAAAAAATCCCCTTTTACTATATGATTCAGTGAGAAATCTCATCTACTTCAGGTTTAAATCCAAACGTTAATGTTTTTATAGCCATGGAGTCTCCTGTGAATTTGTGATTACTTTTCTGACAACTCGTCCACATGGATAGAAAATGAGATTTGAGACAAAGTACCCAACTATGGTTTTTGTAATGCTATATTTGAGTACCTTTTTTATCTCTTCATAAACTTCAAGTTGTGGGCTACATATAACTTTTACCATGGTTTTAAGTTGAATTCAAAATTATCATGGCAATCATGCACTTTACCATGGGCGGACCTACTATGGTGGTTACGGTGGCTCGTGCCACCGTATTATTTATCCGTCGAAGGGTAGAAAAATTTATGTTCGTGAAAGGTGCAACCGTATTAATCTGTTGTGTGTCACCGTATGTATTTTGAAACTACAATGAGGAAAAGTTTTATTTGGTAGAGTTGGTTTGCAAGGCTTTTATTCCACTTAAGACCAAAATTCAAATCTTGTTAGTGTCATTTTCTTAGTCAAATAGTGCCACCGATTGAAAAAACAAATTATGTATATTTGTTTCTTATAGTCAACCGGTGTCACTGTTTGAAATTTTTTCGCTATAGTTTTTTCTTATAGTCAAATGGTGCCACCGTTTGAAAAAAATTATGGGTCCATCCTTGCACTTTACGATGCTATATGCCAGCGAGGACGTTGGGCTTCAGGGGGTAGATTGTAAAGATCCACATCAGTTGAGGAGGGGAACACATGTTGTCTTATAAGAGACTGTAAACCTCCTCTATCAGATGCAATATTACAACTTCAGATCATTCGTAGTCGTTAAGGAGATTAGTCGGGTCGTGTAAGTTGACTCGAAACACATAGTTAGCTGTAAAAAGTTCATGTAACAATCTTCTTTTTTTCCATTATATCAAAATTTTCATAAAATTATTATTTAAAATAAACATCAACCATGATTAAGAAATAGAAATGAAAGGTGTGGGCAAGGTCAAGGTCAAGGCTTAATTATCTCAAAAATTTAATGTAAAAGTGGTGCTTAATTTAATGATTTAAGGGGTTGAGTGAATGGATAGAAAATAGACAACTCACCAACTAAGCTTTGGGCTTAGGGACATCATTCTCTGTATTGCGTACCATGCTTTACAGCAAATTGAAGTCTAATCACTCAACAAAACTAAATTATAAAAATAATGAAAAAATAATAATACTAAAAGGTTTTAATAAAGTTTCACGCAACCAAATGATCAATCAACTGATTTTAACGTTTTATATCTGTACGTCGATAAATATCAGAATCGGTACCTCAAGATTTTCTTTGGTTCTCTCTCTTGATTTGATACTAAATGCATCCTTTTGTTAAAATTTATATCGACCAGACTTGGATTATTTTTTTCTCAATGTATGTTGGAACCTCTTTTCTTTTCTCAAAGGCTCTTTTATAAAGTCATCTAATGAGGTTTCACATATTTTCATGTGATATCAGAACCAAAGTCTAATAGTCTACGAACTCGACAATCTAGGAAATTTTGTACTCTCTCCGTCCCAAAATAAGTTTATACAGTATTATTATTTTAGTTTGTCTCAAAATAAATTTCCATTTTTAAAAAGTAAAGGTGTAATTTTTCATTTTGCCCTTAATTATCTGGTGGAGGAAAATTTCTTTATCTATATTTAAGGGTAAGTTTTTTATTAATTAAAAATTGTAATGATTATAAGTTTATAAAACTATGTTTTTTTTTAATTGTGGACATTTGTTCAGAAGAAGTACTCGACTAGCCCTCTTTCGACGCCTCAAAACAATTAGTACCCGCCTAGACTCCGTTGAGGAATAACATATCAAAGTTTGATATGTATAGGGTTTTTTTTTTATGGAAAAAGGGAAAGAAGAAGCAAAAGTGGTATGGTGCTTTTAGAGAAAACCAACGGCAATAATAGGTCTTCTTTTTTTTCTAAACTCTTTAATTTGAAAAGAAAAAATCAAGATTCAAGAAAGTAAATGAAGCAACAGTCTGTTGATGGTGGATGAGCCAGCTCACCTCATTATATATTATATATATTTCAACAATCTATAACTATCATACTCCTTGTCCTTTCCCAAACAACACCTGCCATCCGTTCTGACACTTGAATCTTATTCAAAATCCAAAAATATACCTTAATTTCAACAAAGATATGGCAGTAGAAGAAGCCAAGAAGGTAGAGGTGGAACCCGAGTGCCAGCCGGAGCCACCTGTCGCCGCCGCCGAGAAGGAGGAGGAAAAAGCTCTCGTCCCAGTTGAACCTCTTGTTTCTGAAGAAAAACCCACCGATGATACTAAAGCCCTCATCGTCGTTGAAAGTAATCTACTCTCCTTTCTTTGTATTGGTTTTCAGTTCAAAAGCTTAAGATGAATTGAAGAATTGGGTTTATCAAGATTTATGCCTTCTAACTGTTTGATAATTTGACAGAGCCAGAAGAAGTTTGTGATGAGAAACCTAAAGAGGGTTCTATCAACAGAGGTAATCTAAGCAATCTAATTCTAATTAAAAATGGTTTGATTTCTAGAATATTTATGATCATAAGGAAGATTAAATTGGTTGTTTTTGTTCAGATGATGTTCTTGCTAAAGTAGCAACAGAGAAGAAAGATGCACTTATCAAAGCATGGGAAGAAAGTGAGAAGTCTAAGGCTGAGAACAAGTAAGAACACAGCTTCTGTGATTTAGATTTTCAAGAAATCAAAATAAAATTTTGGGTGTTTCAGATTAGTGAATTATTGTATGAAACTGATAAAAGAAAGATGATTGAATAGAGCTCAACAAAAGCTATCTTCAATTGAAGCTTGGGAGATCAGCAAGAAAGCCGAACTGGAAGCCGAGTTGAAAAAGATTGAGGTAACAGATTTTGAATCGATCAATACTTGACACAACATGATTTCTGATGTTCTTTAAGCCAAAAAAAGCATCACAAGTGGTTAATTAGAGTTTGAAATTGGTGAGCAGGAGGACCTGGAGAAGAAGAAGGCCAAGTATATAGAAAAGATGAAGAACAAAATGGCTATCCTTCATAAAAGAGCACAAGAAAAGAGGGCAATCACAGAAGCTAAATGCGGAGAAGAGCTTCTCAAGGCAGAAGAATTGGCGGCCAAGTGTCGGGCTACTGGCGACACCCCAAAGAAACTACTCGGATGGTTTTAAAGCTAGATACTTGCTGGAATTGCCATATAACTTTTGAAGTTGTATTTTTTTATTTCTTGATGTGTGCTTATATCTTTATGGTGTATGATTGGTTTAATGCTTCATTATTTTGTGTGCATATTAATGTAATTGTGTGTGTATAAGTTAAATATACTAGCAATTGATTATAAAGACAAGTTTGCAAGTGACAATTTTATTCCATGAGGTTTCAAATCTCTGTTCTCAGTTCCTAAAGTTATGAACTCTAATCCAAAACACTATTATTACTTGTAAACTTAGTGTTGGCAAGAGGTGGATATGATCACTCACATTATACATACTGCAAATATTCGCCATCGTTGGGAAAATCTAGCAGCAGATCCAATGTTATATCTGATGCATTCTCTGGTTCATATGAGTTTTGAGACTCTGCGTTTGTTATTTCCTCTGCTTCCTCCTTGAAGAATCTCCTATGCTCTTTGATACCCTGATCACAAGATTCACTAGTAGAGGTGCCCGCGAAATAAGGCCCAGCCTGCACTGTGACAACAGAATCTGATTCAAATTTTATCGGTCTTGGGGTTGGGATTAAACACGCCACTTTGTCACGATCCATATGTTTCTGAAATGGTTCTTCATCACCAGAACCCCATTCATGTAGGAAGTTATTGCCGTCACTTATGCCGGTTGCTGGGCTCAGAAGCATGGGATCCATCGGTAGCCTGGTTTCAGCCTCAGCCTCCTTTCTGATGTTCTCCCATGGTGGCAACGTGAATTTTATATCTGTTGATTTGGAAGGCGGGTTGGTTTGCAGGGTACCATTCTTGTTGGGGATCCGTTTTCTTAAATGGGAGTTCCAGAAATTCTTTATCTCATTGTCGGTTCTTCCTGGCAACCTTGATGCAATGGCTGCCCACCTGAATAATTCAAATTAGTAAGGCTTTGTGGCTCAAGAGATAAGATGCAAACATGAGTGTTTCTGTAATAGATAAAGGTGAAGTGGTTCATTACTTGTTACCGTGCAAGCTGTGCAGCTGGAAGATTGTTTGTTCTTCTTCAGAACTGAATGCACCACGTTTGATATCAGGCCGAAGATAGTTTGTCCACCGAAGTCGACAACTTTTTCCACATCTTCTAAGTCCTATATTACAATATCATGAACCCCAAAGTGAACCAAGAAGGTCTTGAAAATGATCTTAAAAAAATTGTTTTTAATCCCAGACTACCTAGTTGAAACTGGCTGCAAATAAAACCTACCAGAAACAGTAATTTAGAGGTCTTGGAAACACTCATACCATCCCTTCAAGATAAAGGAGCACAGCTGCCAAAGAGATGTTTCTGGGCACTAATGGAACTGCTCCTTATTGGGTCATTTGAGGGATGATTGTAGCGTCTCCTTTACCCCTTAAGTTCATATGATGATGCTTCGATTAAAGAGCAAAATGTGAAAAATGAATCTTTATACAGGGAAGGCAAGGGAAGGGGAGATTTTGAACCCATATGAAAGCAGTTTCTCCATTAAAGATCTTGAAGTTGGAGGACGAAAATTGAGGCCAGAAGGCAAAAGACTATTATCAGATTTGGGATTAGATACACACAACTTGAGAAATTGAAGAGCTCAAACAAGATCAGTTCAATAATGTCGCATTCCATTTTCAAATAAATTTGTAATTTTTTGAACTGCAAGAGTTCAATGAACAACTTATGGAACCCATCCAGCCGTACCTGGCGGTTGATTGGCGGAAGTGAGAACTCGCCGTCATCTTCCGCCTTGGGATTTCCGAAATGGACGGCTAAATTGACGTTGGATGGAAGAACAAAATTGAAAGGAAAGAAATAAATCAAACCTGCAAGTTTAGGAAAAGAACGCCAGGTGCCATGGCCATTCTTAGTGATGTAATCAACAAGTATCTTATCTTCTTCAGGAGTCCAAGAACCTTTCTTCACCTCACCTTTGTTACAGCACGGTGCTCTTCCCATCTTCTCCTCTTTCCTTCCCCTCTTGCTCATCCAACAGCTTGCTAGCAAAATTAAATCTAAGATGTTTTTGAAAGAGAGCACTGGCAATAGGTCAGTAATGGATGAAAATCACGCAAATCTCATCCATCTCCATATCTGAACTTGCATTTCCTCTTACAAATTCGTGCTATTCTGTCTCTGCAAGGAAAAATTCATCGGAAGCGCCACAAATAACGTCAATAGCTCGATAAATGCTGGTTGTGAATTCATCGCACTAGAACGAAGAAAAACTATAAACAATTGAAAAGGTAGAACTATCGGAGCTGCAATAATTGCAACATTAAAAGGTGCTGGCTATGGCGTCTTCACACGAAAGTCAACAAATTTCTATAAAAACCTAAAAACTCTACACACACACATACACACAGTAGAAAGCAAACAAAAATGCTTGAATTGGCTACAGATAAATGTACGCCGATGGCGAGAAAAGTGAAGTCCAGTGATGTATGCTCACCGGAAAATCTGGCGAGAAGTGACGGAAGATGTGACTTCACATAGATGAAAGGCGTCGATGGCGAACAACAGGGTTTTTTTGCGTCCAGCTTTTTGTTAAAACTATGAAGAGAAAAAGACTGCTATTTCTTCCTTTGCTCCTCTCTGCCTCTGCCTCAGCACACACACAAGACAAAGTTTATCAACTTTTTCTATGATTAATTTTACATTTTTATCAAATTCATACTAAATTACAATTTTGGTCCCTCTGGTTTACAACCAATTATAAATACCGTCCTTAGACTTTAATCAGTACAGTTATCGTCACTATGGTTTGCATTTTCCTTTGCAAATCGTCCATGATCATTAACTCCGTTAAATTATTCCGGGACGAGTATTAATGGACAAAAAAATAAAAGACTTAAAAAATGAAAATACCCTCCACTTGACAGACTATTGTAACTGAGTTAGTGACCAGAGACGATTTTAACACAAAATACAGACCACAATGACGATAATAAGTATCATTGAAGTCTAGGGACGACCTTCGTAGCTGGGTGTAAATCACAAGGACCAAAATTGTAGTTTACACAATAAAATTCAATATATAAATATTGGTATCTTGAGTCTTGACCCAAAGATCCGTATTTGATTATACGGGGAATGGGTCATACCCGCACATCGGGACGGAAATTTTGTCGGGTTTTGTGGAAGTGAAGTTTTGTTTAAATTCTAAAATGGTGAAAAGAAAAGAATTACTTTTCTGTTTAAAACAAATTATATATATTTTTAGGGGACGCAAAATGTTAATGTCATGGTATTTAAAGAAACAACATTTACTGTCAAATAATTGAAAGATAAATTACATGAAAAAGTAATGTATTTTAATTTGATACTTTCAAAACTTTTATTTTGGTATTTAATATGTAAAGTTTTAAACATTTAAAAATTCGGGTAATCAGTTGAATGTATATTATTTTAATTAATATATATTAAATTAATATTGTGTTATTAAATTATTGTGTGATTAAAGCATTACGTATTATGGTGATATTTAGGCACGGGTTGAAATGGTGGGTTTTGATAGTGCTAGCCTATGATGGCCTATGGGTGTTTTGATAGTATTACTAGTGATTGTGATTTTAATTCAATTATATTTAAATATTTCTATTAAATTATATTTGAAATATTTCTATTAAATTATATTTAAATATTTCTATAAAAAAAATATATTTGAAATTAACGATTACATATGTTTTTTTTAAACTAAACCACTAATCCTTTGATGGAAATCATCAAGTTTGGTAGCATCCTTCTAATTGTTGTTATGTTTTGAGTTATTTAAACAGGAGTTTAAATACTAACATTCGTCAAGTTTTTATTACGATGTCGGCCGCCACATAACAAGCGGTTTTTAAGACATTTCATCTTATTTTATGTTGTATAAGATGAAGATATTGTGACGAAAAACTCGGGACTGATTTTTAAATCCCGTTTATGTGAACGGTTTTAGAAAATCCAGATATTTCTTTGTTCAAATATAATGTCTAGTGACTTAATCATTTAAAGCTGAAATATTTGTTGGATTTTTTGCGTTTTTTTTCTTTACTTTATAAAATATTTACTTACATAATCGTTTAGAAGTCAGTTTAATATGTAAAAAGTAATCGATATGAAATAAATTCAAATATTTATTTATCCAGAAAAATATTTAATAACTTAATTGCTTAAAATCAAATTACAATCTTTCAATTGGATTACCTCAAGATGCGTTTTTCTTTTTATCAATTTCTTGGATTTCTTGATTGTGCGGCTGTCGTTTCAGCGCATTCTTCCGATTTAGATTTCCGTTCCAGTTATAATCCACTGTTGATTTTTGTCTGTTCAACTGTTCTTAGTCCTATTCTGTTTCGCTTTGTTGATGGACCTTCAAACGGTCTTTTGTTTCTTAAATATCCCCTCCATGCCCTTTTCTTGTTTTCTTAATAGAAATTTGTAATTCAAAGGAAAAAAAATGCTTAAAATAAAAATCGATTTTCAAATTAGTGAGAGTCACAAAGGGTGTCTTTTTTCTAGAAGGGGTATTTCGGACTTTTGGCCTGTGGCCTGTGCTGCATGGCTAAACGTGGATCACGGGAAAAGCTTTTAAAAGGATTATTTAATGTGCAATATAATTGTCAACATAAAGACACTGAAATTACCTTTTGTCACTCAATATCATAAAGTATTTTGTTCAATAAATTACAATTTTCATCCTTATGGTTTGTTGTTTATGACCATTTTAGTCCTTCGTTTGTAAAATTTGGTTGTTTTGTTTTTGTGGTTTTTATTTTGTTTCTTTTTTGTCCTTAAGGTAAATGACGTTAAAAGACTCCGTTAAATCAGGGTTAATTAGGTCTTTATCTTTTTCCTTTATTTTTATTAAGTATATATATATATATATATATATATATATATATATATAAAGAGAGTTTGTTTCAAATGCAACACATCACATTTTTACAACCAATGCAACCCAATAAATTGAAATATTTATGGAAATGATGAGAGTTCATTAAATTATGATTTAAATATTCACAGAAGATGAATAAGGTTCATTAATTATGATCAATACTTTATATTATGAAACAATCAAAACTTCTATGAAATTACATATTCATCAAATTAAGTGGACGATTGAGATTGAGTTGTATTAAGTACCATTTATGTCGTCTACGTTACCCCTCACCACCAAAAAATCTCATATTCTTCCCCTCTCCTGATCGGCGCCTATAACATGTTGCCTGTTTTTGACAACTCTTCTAAAACAATCCCTTTATTACTTGTTTTATTTTTCAGTATTTTTAACTTCAAATCTTGTAAAGTGTATATGATCTGTTTGATTTATAAGAGGCATATGAATTAATAGTATCTTGTTTTGTGTTTTATCGTTGATTTGTAAATTTACTCTATTTTGTTTTTGTTTTAAGCCAGTTAAAATATAATGAAAATATGTGTTTCATAAAAAATATACATATGAAACAAAATAATAATTGTCTTTTATAATAAATAAAAAAATATATTTTTTAAAATGAAGTTAGGCCATAATTAATTGTGTGACCGTTTATTTGACTATAACAACCGTCACTTTGGAATTTGAGGGTGTGTTGATAAAGTTTTGGATTAAATTTTATTTTTTTAACTTTTCAAGACAACAATTTCTTAACGATATTGTCAAAAGTTAAGTTCGTAAATAATACGTCACAACTTATTTGATCGGTAAGTTATACCGATACCAATTATCGATTACTTTTTAAATTAATGACAACGATTTTCTTTTATATACGTATTAAAGCAACCTTATACTCTAAGATAAATATAATATGGACCCCTATGATCAACAAACTACTCTTGGTACGAGATTTCATCAAGAAGTCATCGACAGGTTATTTTCCTGACGGAGTTGACAATACATACGATTTCTGAAAATAACGTATTGGATCACAATTTATCAACACATTATTGTCGAATTTTTGATGGGCTATTATAGGTGGATTGCCGACAAACTGTTTTTTCGATGTTAACCTATCCATTGGGTTACTTATCAGTACTTCATCGATAAAACTGTTTTTCTAAAAAATTATGTATTATCTGTATCTTTTTATGGATAGATTGTTGATGCATTATTTTACGAGGAAACATACTCTTAATTCATAAAACTGATCACATTCAAAATTATCAAACGGTCACATGCCACTCAATCATGTATGAGCGAGTCGATGAGCACCAACACCTTACCATTCTTTTAAACATTGAATGCTAGTACACATCCTACAATATAAATAAATAAATAAATCATATATATATATATATATATATGAGTGATCATACGAAAACCGCCCTCATTTGTGTAAATCATGCAAACCACCTTCATCTGTCGATTTCATTGTTTAATCTTATGAAATTTTTTCATGAAATTGTTTAATCTTGTGAAATTGTTTCATATAATACTTTTTTTGATGAAGTTGTTTC